CCCCCCCCCCCCCCCCCGCTGCACTCACAGGATAGTGATAATCTTCACGAAGTCCAAGGATCGCTGATTGAGCTGTGCAATAAACACTGCGGCCACACACTGGAAGAGCGCGGCACCGTCCATGTTGACAGTGGCACCGATGGGCAGAATGAAGCGGCTGATGTGCTTGGCCACGCCGTTCTTCTCCTCCACGCACTTCATCATCAGCGGCAGCGTGGCGGAGCTGCGAGGGGACCGCAGATCTGAGTTCTCAGTTGGCGCGACCCAGCCAGCCCGACGGGCCCCGCCCACCGCTCAAGCCACGCCCCAGCTACCTCCCCTGACCATCCCCTGGACCAGGCCCCGCCCACACAGCCCCTCATCTCAGGCGCAAGCTCTGCCCACCAGCCTAGACCTCTGCTTCCCACGAACCCGGGGCCTCCACCCACACCCCTTAGCCCTCCCCGGCTCGCCATGCCCTTCTCTTCTCAGAGCCAGAAGGCACTAGGGATCCCACAGAATGGAAGCATTCCAAAATATAGGGAATCTTGGACCCCTGGGAGATTACCAACGGCTACTCCTTAAACTACACATAAAAATTCATAACTAAATTCTAGAATGTCTGAGCGCTCACTGACTCACACCCCTTCCCCATCTCTACCAATAACAGACCTCGACTAAGAATTACTATACTCTTGGGGATGCTGCTATAGGGAGGGTTGGATCCTGAGGGGACAGGGCCAGCAGAGATGGACAAACTACTCAGGAGAGGTGGAAGGAGCTTTCAGAGGTTGGATCCAGGCTAAAGCACTAGGGTCCCCCAAGGCCAGGCCTTGGGATAGGGAGGGGTTCTCAGGAAGGAAGGAATAAATCTCCAAGGCAGTAGTTTCCTAATGGGGGGGGTTTTTCCCTCTACCCAGATCCCATGTCCCTGGACAAAATTTCAGGGGTCTTTAGACATTTGATGCCTGTTCCAGGCCCCTTAAGCTTAAAAACCCTGCCCTGGTCTGCCCCAAGGTCACACCTGGAGGAGGTCCCGAAGGCAGTGGCCAGCGGCGTCATGATGCCCCACAGGAACCGGTAGGGGTTCTTGCGGGTGAAGAGGAAGTAGATGAATGGCAGCACCAGAAGCCCGTGGATGGCGTGGCCAAGCAGGCAGCACAGGATGTATTTGCCGAGACTAGCGAAGAGCATCCCCACGTCCTCCATCTCCACGATCTTGCCGGCCACCAGGAACAAGATGCCCACAGGGGCATACCTAATTCCCCAGGAGACAGATTGCCACCTCTGACCATGTGCCCACCCAGGGCCAGGCATTATGCTGGGCACATGGCCTGACCACACTTCTCAGCCTCCCTCAAAGTCAGGAAGCGCCCACAGCAATGTGGGCTGATGTTCGGGCACCTCCCCTGCCATCCTCCATTCTCTCCCCTTGAACACAGTACCACTGGGAGATAAAAGAAGTCTGGGTGGTTCCATCAACCACTTGGAGTACAGTCACCCACCAGATTTGGACTTAACACATGGCCAGGAAAGAAACACCCACCATGCATATCATTTACATATTCTGGGTTTGTTTGTTACAGCAGCTAATATGACATAAACCAATACGCTCTCTCACCATGAAAAATAAAAACCGTGGCTCATGTCTTAATGACAACTCCCAGGTATGAAGCATTTATGATGTGCCGAGCCCTTGAACGGGATTGAATCTTCACCACAACCCCACAAGGGAGCTCCTATGTTGAATCTCTTGCCGCTATCATTGAATTAAAATCAAACAGGTCTGTAAAACAGGGGCCATAATGCTACCAACCTCATAGGAATCCTGGGAGGATGAAATGAGATGCCAGTTGAAATGAGTTGAAAGCTTTTTGTACACAATAAGTGAAGTCTATAGACTTCCGCTGGGATTTATTATCACCCTCTCCTGGAGGGAAGATCCCAGGGGTTGCATGTGTCTCCCAGCCAGGAGGGCTCCCAACATCACTTCCCTGATTGCCTGATCGCTATGGCTACTTGTCTCCAAACCCCTTCTCCTCTTTAGTTACAGAAGAAAAGCACCATTTCCCAGCCACCTGTGCACCTAGGTTTGGCCAAATGCCCAAGTTCTAGCCAGTGAGATGTGCCCAGAAATTATACAAGTACTTGACAAATATTAACTAAGCTTGTTTACTGTAGGCACGCTATAGGTCAGGCACTGTCCCAAGAACTTTACACGTATTAACTCACTCGTGCCTGGTACTATCAACGCCATTTTCCAGATGGGGAAACTGAGGCACGGCGGGATAAGTAACTTGTCGTAGGGCGCACAGCTGGGAAGCAGTAGCGCCGGGACGGGAACTCAGGCTGCCCAGCTGCAGAGCCTGCTCTGATCCACACACCAAGTGTTTCTATTCGTTTCACACAGCAGCTTCTTAGATGTCAGCTACCCTGGAATCAGGGTTGGGGTGGGGGGAGATTTGGTAAAAATGCAGCAGCCCTAACCCACCTCCTGATTTCTGACCTTCTGACCCAGGATGGGTCCTGAGAATCAGTGTGACACCATGTGGAGATGAGACAGGGGAGGTGGCAAGGGTGAAGCTGAAAGCCTCTGCACGTGTTTTTTTCCCTCATTATCTGAGGCCATTTAACAAAAGCTCATACATAATGGTGATAATCGTAGCTGACATTAACTGAATGCTCAGTAGGTGCTAGACATTTAAAACACTTTCTAAGTGCTTTACTTACACCTCAGTCACTCGTGTCATCTTAATTATAACCCTATAAAGCAGGCACTATTTTCCATTATTGTTCCAAAGGCAAACATTTGATGACAGTGAACTCTCGGAAACTGAGATGCATTAGCCAGGCTGCGGCCACAGCTCGGTGGTATTTTTGTCACCCTCCAATAGGATCAAGAAGGTTCCAGGATCAGTATTAGCTCTCACGGCATACAGCACTGTCCTCACCTTATAGATGAGGAAACTGAGGCACAGAGAGAGTAAGTCACTTGCCTGAAGTCACATAGCCAGGGAATAGTCGATGCTCGATTTGAATCTAGGCCGCCTGGTTCAAAGGAGCAGATGGAGGATCGCCCCACCCCGCCTCACCAGCCCCCTCTCCCACCACTTACCACATGATCCAGGAGACCAGCACCATGGTGGCATCATTGAAGGAGTTAAAGAAGCGGATGAGCAGCTCTCCCTCAGGCCCCAGCTTCCGCAGGGCCACGCCAAAGATGATGGCAAACACCACCAGGCCCAGGATGTTCATACCCTCCACCTCACCCCCCACGGGCACCTTTGGGCAAGAACACATGGGGTTGCGCGGGGCCATTCAGTCAACCCGCACAGTGACTGAGGGCCTGTCCTGCGCACTGCGGGGACCCAGCAGAGACAAGACCATTCCCCAGGCCCCATCCTCCGAAGGCTCACAGCCCAGGTCCAGGGACCACCCAGAGTGAACAGGGCTGGGACGGGGGAACCCAGGGGAGTATGGGAACCAAGGAAGGTTGTGCTGCCAAGCTTGGAGGAGGGGAATCAGGGAGGGCTTCCTGGAGGAAGGGGCTAAGACTCGGAGACGGGGGTGAACAAGGTAAAGGGAGGGGAGGGGTATTGTTACCTCTTCTAGAGAGAGTTAACAATATGCAACAACCTTGAAATGACTCTAACTTAGGCATTCAAAGAACAGAAAGAAATTCACTGTGGCTGGAGCAGAATGGGCCAGGCAGAGTCACAAGATGACGCTGGGTGGGCGGATGGGCAGGGGGAGGACCTCACAGGGGCCCCGGGGACTACGGCGAGGAGCCTAGGCTTTCTTCTGAGGGCACTAGGGAATATGACAGGGCTTTAGGCAGGAGAGAGGCTGGGGCAGGTTTGTGCTTTGGAAAGAATACTCCAGCTGCCAGGCTGAAGGTGGGTGGGAGGGGGTGGGAAGGGAGGGGAAAAGAGGAGCCTGGACCTGAGTGTGGCTGTGGGGAGGGAGAAGAGAGGGCAAAATGGAGATTCCAGAAAGGCAGAAGAGACAGAAATTGGGGCAGGGCTTCGGAGAGTTTAAAACAGATTGCGCCCAAATGTTAGAGGACCCAGGGGACTTCCCTGGTGGCGCAGTGGTTCAGAATTGCCTGCCAATGCAGGGGCCACGTGTTCGAGCCCTGGTCCGGGAAGATCCCACGTGCTGCAGAGCAACTAAGCCCGTGCGCCTCAACTACTGAGCCTGTGCTCTAGAGCCCGCGGGCCACCACTACTGAGCCCGTGTGCCACTACTGAAATCCATGCACCTAGAGCCCGTGCTCCGCAAGAAGAGAAGCCACCGCAATGAGAAGCCCGTGCACCGCAACAAAGAGTAGCCCTCGCTCGCCGCAACTAGAGAGCGCAGCAACGAAGACCCAACACAGCCAAAAATAAAAATAATAAATAAAAAAGAAGACCCAGAAGGCAGATGAGACCAGGGTAAGAACAAAATGGAAAAACCAAGGTGCAGGGCCCCCCACCGCCTTCCCAGCTCTTACCTTCACCTGGGTTCCGTTGAACAATCTCTCCTTATAGGAGGTAGCGTACTGCAGGTGGGGTTGGGAAGAGTCAGCATCAACTGTCATCGAGGCTCCCCCGCCCCATCCTGGCACTGACAATACTCAAAGCCCGCCCTAAGCTTCCCTTAAACGTGATCTCATTCCATCCCACCAGCAACCCTGCTGCAGTAGGACTATTCATACCCCCATTTTCCAGAGGCGGAAACTGAGGCTCAGAGAGGTAAAGGCACTTGCTCAGGGTCACACAGCTAGAATTAGAACCCAGAGGGGGCTCAGAACCCATATTCTCATGAGGGGCGTGGATGGGTTTCATTCAGAAATCACCCAGGAGCCCTGCAAAATGGCCTGTAAATATGTGGGCACGTGCGTTTTTCCAGGCACCACCCAAAATCAGGCACCAAGGGGCTGGAACTGGCTGTCTCCCTCCCTGCCCACCCCCCAACCCTGAGGGACACCCCAGAGGACTCACTGAGCGGAAGGCTGCGGACACCAGGTTGGAGGGGAAGATATTTCTGCAGAGATAAACATGGTGGGGGGGGGGAGTATTAGATACCACAGGAGGAGGTCAGGGGGGCTGGGTTGGCCTCTTGGGGTGAGGGGAACCTTGGAGGCCCCATCTGTACCCAAATGTGGTCCTCACCCATGCCTCAGCCAGGTTCAGCCAGGCAGAGATGGACCTGGGCCTGCACATCTTTCCAGGGTGTGCAGAGTCTCAGCTGGAATCCTGGGGCCCAGGAGGCTGGTGTTCTAGCTCAGAGGGAATGTGGATTGAGGGTGAGGAATGCCAGCTTCCCAAGGCAGGCTGGGGCAGGGTTACGGGGCCTGGCTCCATCCCACACTCAGCACCCTCAATACTCTGAACATCTTGCATCAGCCACTTCCTCCTGGAGGCCTGGGAGGGCTGAGGAAAGGGCTGGCCCTGGGGGCTGCCTGGCGGGTTGCAGGCTGTAGGGAAGATCTGGGTGTGTTAGGGAAGAGGTGGTGAGAAAGTGACAAGGATTGACTGCGTTGTTGTGAATGCGCCTTTGTGTTTATGCAGCCACTCTCGTGTGAGGGTGTCTGGGTGTGATTAAGTGTGCAGCAGCGTGCATTAAACCCCACTGAGCATGGGAGGGAGTCGGACAGTGGCCCCGTGTGCCTCAAGGCAAGACAAAACTAACAGCCAAGGTGACTACAGGTGCTGTACTAAGTGCTTTATATAAATCAACTCATTTAATTCTCCTGACAGCCCTCAGGGCCCGGCACTATTATCCCCATTTCACAGAAAAGGAAGCTGAGGCACTGACAGGTGAAGAAACTTGCCGTTAGGAAGTGGCAAAAGTGGGATTTGAAACCGGCCAGCTGGTGCCACAGTCCGAACCACCCGGCAACCTCGGATCTTCCCTCTCACCAAAGACGTGGGTGCGCAGCTGGTGGTGGTGGTTGGTAGTTTACCAGGTGTTGGTATCCGGTTGGGGAGCGCAGGTTAGTGTTCAGATATGTGTGACCCTGTTGGTGTGTGGCCCTGTAGGCACGTATGTGAGTGTGCATGTGCTCCTGAGCTGTGTTTAGGCAGTGTTCCACATGTTGGTGTGGTCAGTGGCATCAGTGAGCGTCTGCGTGCCCGCGTCCAGTTGTGTGCCAGTGGCTTATAAAGTTGGGTGGCTCTGAGATGTTCCAGCTAAGTCGCCGAGTGGCTGGCCAAATGAGCTACATGGATTTGGGCACAACGGGGAAGCTTGCACACATAAACAAACTTCAAGTGGGTGTGCCCCTCTGCAGGTCGGCCTGTACCCACCCAGGCCAGCCAGGGCTGGGTCAGGACACAGCTAATCTCCCCCAGCCAGAAGGTGCCCACCCGCTGTAATTTCTGGACACCAAGCCTCCTCCCAGTATCGGCCTGCACTGATGCCCCAAGAGACTGAGGGGAACCCTGTTCCGTGACTCATCATTTCCTTCCCCCACTTCCAGAAAGTCCCCAACCAACCCGGAGACACTGAATCAGCAGGCCTCAAAGGCAAGGCCATGTGAATCCAGCAGTCTGCCCTCCTTAAAAGGGGGGAGAGAGCCATTCTTGAGGGGAGGGGAGCAGAGGCCCAAAAGAAAAGAATCTGCCCCCTTTCTGGGCAGCCTAGTGCAAGGGGAGGGCGGCCGGGTACCAGACAGAGTAGGAAATGAAATGGAAAGTTTGTGGAGGTGGCAGGACTTACCTACCAGGAACATATAAAGGGGAAGCCAGGGTCCTGCCCAGCTGAACTGGGTGGGGAAAAGAGGCTGAAAACAGGACCTGGCTTTGTCTGGGGGACACGTGGTGTGGGGAACCACGTGGGAAGAGGGCCTGGTGGGGGGTCATTCTGATCTCTTCAGGTCCTGCAGGGGGCCCTTACCCAGGGCTCCCAGAACTTTTATCCAGACACTGGACTTAAACCTTTATCCAGAAGCCCCATCCTGCGGCCCTTGGCCACCCAAAGATCCCCTTTCAAGTTCCCCTCAGGATCCTCCTCCTGAGGGGACTCTCTTATGTCCCCCTCAACCCCGCCAAGCATCACTTCTCCCTCTATAAGACTTCCACGCCCCTATCACCCTCCCGTGGGGTCCCGCTTATGTACGCAAGCCCCCATATTTAGAAATCTCCTCCAGGAGTCTGTTATCACCCTCTGTACCCTGACCCTCAAGGGGCCAGAGCCCCCCACAACTATCCCATCCTGTTTTCCTGAGGCCCTGGGGATGTCCCGGACACGGAGGACCCAAAACCCCCCTTCCGTCCACGTGGCGACTCCGGCCAACCCTAACACGCATCCCCTCCCCACGAGGCTGAAGCACCCACCCCCTTCCCCCAACCCCTCCACCGGGCGGGCGGGGTCTGACCTCACAAGATCCAGGAACGAATCGAGCACCTCCTTGCTGGGGGCCTCTTCCACGGAGCCCGTGGCCCCGACCGAGCTGTTGATGGCGGCGAAGGCGGCGCCCGGCTGCAGTGCGAGCGCCAAGCCCACGCCGAGCGCCGACGCTAGCAGCGTAGTAACCAGGAAAAAGAGCAGCGCCCAGGCGCCCAGGCGGCCGAGCGCGCTCGGGTCCAGGCTGGCCGCGCCGCCGATCAGGCTGCACACCACCAGCGGCAAGATAATCATCTTTAGCAGGCGCAGCAGCAGCTCGCCCGGGAAGGCAAAGGCCTCCGGGCGCGCTGGGCCCAGCGCTAGCGCGCCGCCGACCCCCGAGACCCCCAGCCCCAGAGCCACGCCCGCCACCACTGCCACCACTGTCAGCAGCACCAGCAGGTTGGCGCGAAGGCAGCGGCGCACCTGGTCCCCGGAGCCGCAACAGCCGCCTTTTGCCGAGCCGAGGTCCTCTAGGGGGACCAACGCCGAGACACCGTTGGCGGTGAGCTCCGCCGCCGCGTACCCCTTGGGGTCTCCCTTAGGTGGATCGGCCACCATGATGAACGCCCCGGGGTTCCTCAGAGCCTGGAAGCTGGGAGCGCTTGGGGCTCCTTCCCAGGACGCTCTCGTTCCTTAAAACTTTGTTAACAGAGCCTGGAGGCTGGAACTTTGGAGGGTTCCCTGGAGTTGTGAGTTCACAGCGCGTAAGTTCCTTGTCTCTTGGAAGCTGGAGTGTTTGAGATTCCCTGGGCTGGATTCCCTGGCGCTGGGGCTCCTCTGCTCTTCGTTTGCGCCCTGCGCTGAAAGCTGGGAGGTGGGAGCACCTGGGGTTCTTTACCCTGGGGGTTAGGAATACGGGAGTTTCTCAAGCTGGGACCTAGGGTCCTTGGCTCCGGAAGGCTGAAGGCGCCCAGGCGGCAGAGGTCTTCAAGAGGCTAGGTGCTGGTGGCGCAGATCCGGGAGGCGGGGACCTGGGTTGCCTGGGTCCTGGAAACGGAGAGCTGGGGAGCCTGAGTCTGGGGGCCGGAAGACGGAGCTCCGGGAAGAGGCGGGCCAGGCTCTTGGGTCCAGGCGGGAAGATCTGGTCCCCTGGGTGCCGAAGGCGGCGGCCCGGGATCCCGGGAGGAATCAGCTGTTAGCCGAGACCGGACCTCCCGGGCTCGCCGCGTGGCTCTGAGACTGCTTGGCGGAAGCTGCCCGGATTAAGCACCCGGGGCGAGGCTTGAGAGAACGGGGACAAACCCACCGGTGCCGATTGGTTCGGTCGGGTTCAGGGCCCTCCACGGCGGGGCTTTGGCTGGAGTAGGGCCAAGTCACCCACACAGAAGGCAGAAAAACAATGGTTACATTCAGGGGCGGGGTCCGGGTGGGGTGGGGGTGGAGGGTCCGAAGGGGGCGGGGCGTTGGGAGGAGGCTTTTTCCTGCCGGAGGATAGGGTATTGGGTTGGGGGCCTTTAAGCCACAAGAGTGCCTGGCGCGAGGGTCTCTAGAAAGTGCCAGGTGATCCGCGGGTCTGCAAATCAATTTAGCCTGAAACTCCTCTTCCGCCCTAAATTCCGGTCTTTTGTCCGTTCTCGTCAATTCCTCGCATGTAAAATACAGATCCCTCACGTGATCGGTGTAAGAGTTAAATGAGATGGAGTGATTTATTTAATAATGTTAATAATTTTCAAAATAAAAGTTCTCAGTTCAGAGCCCCACACGTATCAATTAATGGCAGTTATTATATTAGGACTGTAATCCACTTCCTCCTAGGTACGCAATTTGCGATTCATCCATTAAAAATTATAATTCAGTTTAATGACTGTGCTAATGCTTTTGCTTTCACCAGATATTTTCCCCTTTTTTTAATTATTAAAAATTAATTAAAATTTTCAAACCTACAAAAAAGTTTAAAGGATTTTAGAGTGAACATCCATATACCCACCACCTAGCGTCTACAATTATTTCACGGTAGTTCTATATAAAATTTCTATCCATTCATCTATCTCTCTAGCCATCCACCCATTTACCTCCTTTTGATGCATGTCAAAGTTGCAGATACCAGTGCACTTTCCCTCTAAACACTTCAGTATGTATGCATTTATTAATCACAGTTCAATATTTCTACGTGGTCTTCTTAGTTCCCTGACCAGGGATTGAACCCGCGCCCTGGGCAGTGAAAGCGCGGACTCCTAACCACTGGACCGCCAGGGAATTCCCTGTCTGCAGTCCTCTTTTTCACAAAATGCACAAACCGTAAGTGACATCTGCTGATTTTTGACAAATGCATATGCCTGTTTTCACTGGAATCTTCATAACTGCTTGGTGAGGTTGGGCCCACTATTCTACCCATTCTCCAGATGGGCAAAACTGGGGCTTATGGCAAGAGGAGGTCACTCACCTTGAGGCCACACCTGGGGAGGCTGGGAGTTGCAAGCCTGCCTCTCAAGGCCCTAACCTTAAAGGGAATCAGCTGTGATTGGCTACTCCTCCTGGCAATATTGAAATCCTGATTCCTTCCCCACCTGGCCTGTTCTCTGATAACATATCAGGTGTTCACACTTGCTCAAAGAAGATCGATAGTGATCATCAGAGGCTTCCTTCTGAAGCAGCTGTGGAGCTTTAGGCAAGTCACCGCCTCTATGAGCCTGTTTCCACATCTGTAAAATGGGAAGAATAATAGTAGCTCAGACCTCCTCGGGTGCTGAAGAGCAAATGAGATCCCATGTTCAAAGCATTTAGACAGGGTATAGGTTAGCCCTTAATAAAGTTAACTACTACTACTACTGTTGTTATTGTCGTTATTATTGAAGAACATGGTTTGGGCCCCAACCAGCTCCAGACACTGCTGGGCATTGGTCACTTGGTCACTGCCAGCCCTAGCCCTAGACCTGCTTGGGAAGGAGCTTTGAGAGCTTGTATTGACATCCTGCAGGATCTGAGGGGCCAAGCCAAGCTGAGAATTTGCACAGGATCTGATGGACCTACCACCCAGCCAACAGTGGCCTTGCAGACCTCCTTCCTGTGCCTCCTGGATGCTCTCCCCTCCCAAATTCTCCCAGCTTCCATGCCACCTACTTCAGAAAGCCCCCATTCCCCATTCCACTCTCTAAGTCTGAAGTCATATTCATTCAACAGACTCACGTTAAACTCCCACGTGCTTGGCTCTGTGCTAGACACCGGGAACATGGGCACTAAAGCCACACAGACATTGGTTCGAATCCTTGCACCACCACTTACCAGCTAAGCATCACGTTCTTCATTTGTCCTAGAGTCAGTGTGAGCGTAAATTTGATGGTGCACACAGTGACCCTTGATCAAAACACGAGGGAACAATTCCTGAGCACTCTATTCACTCCACAAATATTCCTCGGGCCCTTACTAAGGGCCAACTGCTGTTTAAGGTTCTAGGGATTCCACAGTGAGAAAAAAATTAAAAATAAAAACCCAGGGACTATAGTCATTATCTTTTAATTTTTGGTCATGCTGCCGTGGCTTGCGGGATCTTAGTTCCCCGATCAGGGACTGAACCCGGGCCCTGGCAGTGAAAGCGCCAAGTCCTAACCACTGGACCACCAGGGAATTCCCTCAGTATCTTATAATAACCTATAATGGAAAATAATATGAAAAAGAATGTGTGTATATATGTGTGTGTGTGTGTGTGTGTGTGTGTGTGTGTATCTGAATCACTTTGCTGTACACCAGAAACAAACACGACATTGTTAAGTGAACTATACATCAATACAAAAATTTTTTTAATAAAATAAAAAAATGAAAGCTCAGACAAAACTCGTTGCCAGCATTCTAGTGAAGAGAGACAAGGAAATGAACTTGGGCTGTCAGGTGGAATAAGAGCTGGAGAAAAGGAAATCGTTGCACAGAAGAGAGAGAGGGAGCAGTCAGGATGGACCACACTGAGGAGGTGACATTTGCGATGAGACCAGAATGGCAAGAAGGAGCCCCCCCGGGACAATCTGGGAAGAACTTTCTAGTCAAAGGGAAGATCAGGTGCAAAGCTCTAAGGCAGCAGGAGAGGCTTCCGACCCTGTCTGAAGTAATGTCAAAAGTTATCATAGCTGGGCTTCGCTGGTGGCGCAGGGGTTGAGAGTCCGCCTGCCGATGCAGGGGATGCAGGTTTGTGCCCCAGTCTGGGAAGATCCCACATGCCGCGGAGCGGCTGGGCCCGTGAGCCATGGCCGCTGAGCCTGCGCGTCCGGAGCCTGTGCTCCGCAACAGGAGAGGCCACAACAGTGAGAGGCCCGCGTACCGCAAAAAAAAAAAAAAAAAAAGTTATCATATCTTCACTAATCTTTGCGATCAATCCTGTTTTAGTGACTTGGAAGCAGACGGGATAATGAGGTTTGTTGTGGCCTAACCCCAACCTGGGCAGGGATTTGACCTCTGTTGTCTCTGCGTCCTCAACCCTTATCTGACACGCCAGCTACTCTGCAATTGGCTCCTCCCCAAGCAGGGACATTTCCTTCAAGGGACCATCATTCATTCTGATCAGTGTTGGGCCCTATGTTGGGAGGTGCCAGGCACCCAGCAACAATCAAGACAGTCCTGGCCCTATCCTCCAGGGAAGCCAGTCCAGAGCGGGTGACAGACCCATCCTCAGACAGTGACAACACAGAGTGAGCGGGGCTGGGATGAAGGAGCCCAGAAGGGATGCTTGACCAGGACTGGGAGGGCTTCCTGGAAGAGGAGGAATCCCAGTTGGGATAGGGAGGGTTTGGACTGAGCCCAGGGAAAGAATATTATTCCAGGTAAAGGGACAAGTACATGCACAGCCTCAGAGTTGAGAAGGGCCTGGAATGTTTGAAAGCACATATCTAATATAGTAACCCCAGTGACTTCCCTGGGGATAAAGTCCAAACTCTTTAGCCAGACACCTGTCTATTCAGTACTACATTCCTTCAATCATTCAACAAACCATGTCTAGTGAACGGAATGCTGAGAGGCATCAAATAGAATGAGACAGTTGGGGAAATGGGTGGAGAGCAGGTTTCAGTACCAAATCAGGTGGTCAAGAAATATTGCTAAGGGACTTCCCTGGTGGCGCAGTGGTTAAGAATCCACCTGCCAATGTAAGGGACATGGGTTTGAGCCCTGGTCCAGGAGGGTCCCACATGCCGCGGAGCAACTGAGCCCGTGTGCCACAACTACTGACAACTACTGGGCCTGTGCTCTAGAGCCTGAGAGCCACAACTGCTGAAGCCCGCATGCCTAGAGCCCGCGCCCTGCAATGGGAGAGGCTACTGCAAAGGGAAGCCAGCGCACCGCAGCGAAGAGTGGCCCCGGCTCGCCGCAACTGGAGAACGCCCGAGTGCAACAACGAAGACCCAGTGCAGCCAAAAATTAATTAATTAATTAAGAAATATTGCTAAGGAGGTAAAGGCAGGGTACAGGGTGGGGGGGAATATAGGACAGGGCACCCTATCACCTGTGGGAAAAAACAAACAATATTAAATATATATATATATATATATATATATATATATATATATATATATATATATATAAAACAACCTCTGTTTCAAATGCATTGATTATCTCTGCAAGAATTCACAGAAACTGCTCAGAATGGGAGCTTTCAGGAAGGAAATCTGTGGCTTTGCAGTTCAGCACTGGCACCCTGAAACTGTCTTCTTGTCTCACGGCTTAGCAGCTGAGTGATCTCAGGCAAGTCACTCAATCCTCCAGCCTCAGTTTGCTTGACCGTGAAATAAGCATAAAGGGTAGCATCTGCCTCCGGGGTCATGGAGGGTGAACCAAGTTCATGTGTATAAAACGCTTTGGTTGGTGTCTGGCAAATCACAGCCTCATGGTATTTTAAGCTGTGATGACCTTTTGAGATCAACATTATACCTAAGGGTGAAAGTCAAAAAGGCCTCTTCCTTGAGTTCCCACAGACTCACAGGCTGGTTGTCCTCCGCAGGAATGTTCAG